GTTATTGACCTTTACCTGGAACGGATCACTTAAAGTAATGGGAAATGGCGGTCCTGACAGAATTATGATGACAGAATAGCTTATGGTTATGAATTAGGTCTTGTTCCTCAAAATGCCTATCAATTTGTCAAATCACTAACACCAAGTGTTCAGCTGGAAACTAACGCTCCCCCGCCCCCGCCATCCCCGCGCATGCAGGTGTCAGTCATTGTGTCGTTTAAAATGTTTCTCGCCTCTATCTGCGCCACAACGTGCATGTCGGTTACTGATAGGAGCTCAGATTGCTGTCGCCGCTGCCATTCACCCACATCGAATCCACCGCCGTACAATATTTTTGCTGAAACTTAAGAGCTTTTTTCTCCTTTGTGATTTTGACAGCCGTCAGCAGCTCGGGGTGAAGCCATCAGGTTCATCCCGGCTAATGTAGTCAGCTGCTTAAACAAGCAGAGTGAGTTTGGTGGCAAATATAAGTTAATATGTTATACAGTGCATTTAGTCTCAGATAAATGACAGAACTACAAAGTGAGACCACTTTTTAAGACACCGGTCGAAAGGCAGACGTATTATGGTTTGCTCTTCTGTTAACTTTCTATCTGGGTCATAACTTCTGATTCGCTGAAGATATTATAATAAAACAATACCCATTTGCATCATCACTAGATGGAGTGCGATGTACACTTTTCATCCCACCAGCTCTATGATCAAGGTCCAAGTTTATATGCAGGGCTTAATTTGAGCTGGATCCTGTCTGAACATGATCTGGGAACTCTCTTATTTTGACAGGGTGTGTTCCGGTAACTGTTTGCTTGGATCTGGTAACTCTCAGGCTTACTAATAATAAAGTTATGAACAAATGACTGCCTCGAATGAATAAAACCTATATTGGATATGTAATCTGAAAATAATTACATAAACCCTCATTTTAAACATAACAGCCACTTACAAGCTTCTTAATTTCAATCAGAGCTGCCTCTTCAAGTAAGAATTTCCGCTTCTACCCTTAAAAAAATCTCTGCCCCTAAAAGCTCAGTGATGAGCAATTTAATTAAAAACACAAAAATATAATTAAACAACACAACTAAATTGTAAATCAGTTTTACAGTTTGAGTCATTATTTAATTTTTTATTATTTATTAAAAATCTGAGAGAAAGGTTTGACGGGCAATCACATTATGTACATCACGTATGAATCCAACTGCGCCAATTTGTCATAAAACAGCAATAAAAATGTTGAAAAGACAATCTAGTTTACTTTCATTACTAAAAAGTGTTCTTGTACAATTAAACAACTGAGAATTGACGCACATGAAGGCAATGGAGATACTACTGGAGTAGGTGTGAGTGGTGTGGGTGAGTGCCGGGCTACCCAGACTGTCGTACCCGAGCAGGAGCACACAGCCAGCCTGAGGAGGAGCCTGGGCATTTCACATGTGGAGGAGGACAACAACAAGCAGGACAGTGAATTCAGTGGAGTAGGGTCAGGCACAGAACCATCAAGTGGTGGGGGTGTGTGGCTTAGGATGCTTGAGAGAAGCGGAGCATGCTCTATTCACACAAGGAGAGCTGTTGATCAGGCTGCTTCTTGTTGCTCTCTAAAATAGTTATTGAATCACAAGTGTTTACAAATGAAGGTAAACGTAGATGTTTAACAACCCATTAAAATTCACCAGAATGCAGGAAATGGCATCTAGTTTATTAAAAACTTTCTGGGTGTGGAGCCCCGCCCAGCTATTTGCTTTCCATTTGTTGAGTCTTTGTGTGTCCCAGCCATTGCTATAATAATAATAATAATAATAATAAAAATAATGTGTTAGGTGTTGTCATCGTTGTATGTTCCCATACATTGGTGAAACTGGCTTTCTGCATTTAACCCTTCCACCCCCAGGTGGAGCAGTGGGCAGCTATTGGAAACACTTGGGGCACAATTGGGGATAGGGTGTGCTGCTCAGAGACACCACAAGATGTGCAATGACTGGGGATCGAACCTGGGACTTTTGGGTCCTATAGATTGCTTTATAATAGTTTGTCAACTGGCGTACAGTATGATGTGTCGTTTGTGGTACTTTAGTATTGATTAAGAGAGAGCCACACACCTCTTTAAACATTGATATCTTTTTATTAAGACAAGAACTCTTCTGATTTTTTTTTTCCTTTTGTAAAAATGTTGGCGCGAACCGATACAAAATATGCATGGTCATGTGAGAAACATCGTCTTCACTATGCAAAAGAAAGGAAAAACAAAAAAACCTCACCTGAAAACAGAATTGTATTCTTTTTGTTTTTAGGAATCAACAATGAAAATAATCATTTCCGGGTTATAAAACAATCCCTTTTCCAGTTCCGCTCCCCCTCCCCAGGAATGAAACTGAAAGTTCATCCAAATATCGAAGAGGTTACAGATCATTCATAAAACTTCATGTCACAGTAAATACACCATCTTCAGTCATGAAAGGTTAAAGCGTGGATCGACTGAATGAAAACAGGCTGACTGGCTGTCATCACGTCCTAAAATTACTAAATAACCAATACCGTAAAAGAGCGAAACGTTACAGTGGAAGAAGTCATCTCATGAACATCGCTGTGGTTTTCGTTAACACTGACTGTACATCGTTTTCGTCTGCTTAACAAATCTAGTTTTCTTTGTTAACTAGGTCTATGCAAAATAATATTTAACATTTACCGTTAACAGTGCACCATATTAAACACAGAAACATGTACAACTGAGAGAGAAGGGGAAAAAAACATGTACATCTTGTGATTTCTTTACTTTTTCATTAGCTGTGGTACTATAGTATATACTCGGGGCTTAATATTTGCATTCTACCTGAGATGCAAAACAAACCACAAATATTAACACTCATAAACCTGAGAGAGTAAAAAAAACATTCTAGATATCATGTATGAACAAATCATAACTTAAAATTTATGACAATCTTTTAAAGTTAAACCATTAAAAGCAACAAGTTATCTTTTTTTAAAGATAAATATCAATCCCAGAATAACATTTGTCATGCACATTACTGTTCCCATGACACCAAAACTCTACAATCCAGAAAATAATAATAATATATATATATATTTTTGCTTATTATAGCTTTTAGGACTGTATTCCTCTCAGAAAGTACTATCAGCCTTGACTTTGGAAATATCCAAATAAATAACAAATGCAGTGAAGCTGACAAAATAATTCTGGCCTAATGTTTTTTGTTGTTGTTGTCATAACTCCAGCCTGGCGTATACCGTTTATCAACTAAATAAAATTTAAAAAAATCAGCACCGAACTAATTTCACTTGTATATTTTGCAGATCCTAACTAAGATGTACGTCTATGGTGCATGAATACAGACAATTCGGCTGAATATTGGCCTGAAAGGACAAATATATGTACAAGATATACTGCAGAGTACATGAGAATACTGTTGAGTCTAACCAAATGCCTCAAAATCAGAAGACGACATTACTCTAAGTCCCTCACTTTTTTAATGTATCAAGCGGTCCATTTTAAGGCAGTGGTTATCCTTTTTCTATCTGATCTATCTACAACAGGTAAGATATTAATTGTTCATAACCTTACTTCAGAACCTCACACGCAGAAATCTGAACGTTTTGCTTTGATGCTAAGCTAAGTGTAGCTGCTGGTCAGAACGTTGCAGTTATTACAGAGACGTTAACGCAAAGATATCAGTAATTACAGCAGTGTCAGTCGCTTAGCAAAACAAGCAAAACATGTTTTTTAAAGTGCCAAATAATTTTCCCTTTAGATAATTGATGCAAAATTAACTGCAAGTTGCGCCCATTTGTTCTGTAGACGTACAATCTCTGTATTATGATGCATAATTCTGTGTGAGATGGTACTGTTACTTCAGGTGCACTGCAGCCGTCGATTTTAGGCATTTAGGGAATATCCATTATTTCACCAGATGCGCTACAGTGTACTCAACTAACTTCTCTCTGCGGTTTGTTGTAGACAAAGGCCACAGCTTACTGAGCAAATGAAGAATAGAGAACTTCGATTAGAGGAAGAAAACAGAGAAACAGGTTTTCAAAATAAGACAGCCTGTGTAGACTTCTGGTTGTTTATCAAATCATTATGTTAGCATTAGTGGTACCAAGTTAGAAGTCAAATGGTGCATCAGATAAAAATGAACATGCTTTGTGACACCACACTTACTTTTTTATTTTATTTTATAAAAATAGCACATGAAAATGAATTAATAGAGGAGGAGGACTTGAATAACTTTGTCATTAAATACGATGAAAAATCCGTGATTTTGCCAGCTGAGTTTGACTTGTACATTCAGACCAATAAAACCATTTGATTTTGAAATACTGCTGGCCTGATTTGAAGCAGCTTGGAGGAAATTTTATAAGCCTGGTCTCAGTGGACCTCTGGCTGTAAATGTCAGGACTTGAAATCACTAAAGGGTTGGTTGCAGCTTGCAGCCTGGTGGAAAAGCATATATAACATGACTCCTGCTTCACTTTTATGAGCAAATACATTCTTAGACAAGCATGATTACTCCAAACTGTTACGTGAGTAATCAACGGTGAACCTGACGTCGAAGGGGCTGCGTGTAATCTGTCTCTTCGTCAAAAAAACAATCAGACCTGCATTTAAATGTGATGAACTTGCAGGCACCGCAGGACTTTGACCCAGCGGGGAGAAATGACTTGACAATGTGTGTCGTTTACTAAACCATGGTGATTACTCAGAAAGGACAAAAAAAAGAAGGTAGTTGCAACTGGCTAATAAGGTCTGGTTACATGAGCTAAAAGCTACCCGCAGCACACATAGACAAATACCAGACCCCCTTCGTATTTTTTTTAACCTCCTAAAAAAATGGCAAAAGCAACAAAAAGTCAAGTAGAGTACATGGAGAAAAATTCAATACAACAAGCATGTGAAAGAAAACCAACAAAAGAAATAGAACAAGGCACAAAATTTTCTGTAAAATAATTAAACTGTACAGAATAGGACCCGGCAGTCCAGGAAGGGTCAGATAGGAGACTAAGCAACACGTCTTCTTACCACATGGCCATGCCAGTCCTACTTTTCACTGTTTTCCTTCTCCTCTACCCTCTAATCCAAGTTGTCTCGTTACCAATCAGAGTTGGACTCAATGCTCCCACAGCACCATCCCCTCCCAACTCTCCAGGTTAGATATAATACTCCTTCTTCTCGTCTGTGTTGGTGTGTCCTCCTTCTGCGTTGATGATCGCCGTGTCAGCATCGGCTGCATCGTCCGCTCCTTTGGCTTCATGTGTGAAGTAGGTTCCTGCAACAAAGAATACAGACAAGTTACCAGCGTGACTCCTGCACCTTTTCAACTCTTCAGGCGTGCTCATGACCAGTTCTGCTTATTTACCTTTGTGTCTGGCGAAGTATCGACCAAGAACAATGAGCGCACAGAGGATGGCAAACATGACAACGGCAACTACCCCTCCGATCACAGCATGGTCAATTTTCTGTGGTGCCCCTTCTCCAGCTCTGGAGTCTAAAACAAACAAACAAACAAATAAAAATACAAGATAATTAACTAAATGTATTTATTCACTAGAAAATTATCTAATCAGAAACAAAACTAGAAGTAGGGTCTACACAGATAGGGATCCCTGTGCAAGTCCGTTCGTCCGTCCGTCCGTCCGTCCGTCCGTCCGTCCGTCCATCCATCCATCATCTTCTGCTTATTCCAAAGTCGAGCCACCGGGGCAGCAATTTGAGCAGGGAGGCTCAGACATCTCTTTCCACAGTCACCTCTTTCAGCTCTTCTGGAAGGACCCCAAGGCGTACCCAGGCCAACCGAGAGACGTAGTTTCTCCAGCGTGTCCTGGGTTTTCCCACTGAGTCTCCTCCCAGTTGGACATGCCCGAAGCACCTCAATTGGCTCCTTTCGACGTGGAGGAGCAATGGTTCTACTCCTAGTCTCTCCCGGATCACTGAACTTCTCACCCTATCTCGTGAACAAAACCCTGAGATACTTCTGAAATATACCTATGAAAGTGCCAGCCACATTAGCCTGCTAAGAGAAATAGGTTGGTTCTATCTTGAAGCATGAACAAAGTAAAGGTGAAATACGTAAAAGTTTCTTCCTAAATTTGTAAACTTTGGAAGAAAACCCGTTCCAATCATATGATAATGTAACGTAAAATGGTTCATGAAGCGTGATGTGTGATTCATATGTAAATTTACATCCCACGAATGGTTCAGCTTTTATAAATCCTGCCAACTAAGGCTTTCAATACAGTGAAGTTGTTGTTTCTGGGGTGATTGTTCATGTTTAAAAGCTAAAAGTTATCTATGTGTTTCTATGCTCAGTTCTCAAGGTACTACATGTTTTAAATACAGGCACATCTAAAAATAAAAAAATAAAAAAATAAAAATAGAATATTGTGAATAAGTTCAATTTTTTTTGTCAAGAACTTTAGAAAGTGAAACTCATATATTATATAGAATAGTTTTGTCATTGCACCAAAGTACAACACAATTTCAGTTTATTTCCCAAAGTGCAAGTAAAAACAGTATATATATATATATA